GGTTAGTGGCACTTTAAATGAGGGAAATCATATTCGCCTTAAATGATATCGTTTAGGGAGTTCTGCCTCTGTTTAGCAAACAGTTTTGGTGAAATAATTCTGCTCCTTTTTCAACAGCTTAGGCAAACACTTTTTTTTTGTTAGACGAGACAGAACGTGATAACATATTTTGCTCATCAAAAACTGAAACGTGTACGAGAAGTATAATTATCTCTTTGACTTCTTCTCAGATTTACTTGATTAATTTTCCAATTTTGTGCACGGCGAAAAAAAAAGAGGTTTTCTTGAGTGATTAAGTTAAGTGTAGTTTAAAGTATATTTTGCCGCGCTTCGTTAACTTCTCTGTGGTGCTTCATCTTGATACATAAGTTACGCTAACTTCGTCATACTTTTGTCACAAACAAACTCGTTTTAAAATAAACCATAAATCACTTCTCTTGGCAGTGTTAGATGATCGCCTACTGCTTGAAAATAGAAGAAAAAAGTGAGAAACCGTAGCGAAGTAATATGTTCCCAAAATTACGCAAAACGGAAAAAGTTTCAGTAGAAATTTTAGCTTTATTCCTATTCTAGGAGAAAACAGAAAAGAAACTGATCACCCAACCGTTAATATGATGCTTCAATTTGTCATACTGTATATGGAAATTTATACATATTGGCCAAAACAGAAAAGAAGGGAAAATCGCAAAATCTACCGCATTATTTCCAACTACTTTCGTGATTATTTTTTCTGCAGCAGATTTATTTTTAAAATTGCCAATATCTACCGCTTCCGGTGTAACAGCGTAGTGATTAATCCACGTTTCTCCCACGCTTCGGACCGTCTACATGTTTATTTGTTTGTAGTTTGATTGATTCACTGGCATGGATTGTCTGTGTTGTTTGTGTTTGGCCGATGAGATTACTTTAAAGTTTGGTTTTACGACACTCAATTGAAGTCCATGCTATTTTAAAAGAACCCGAGTATTGGTACATCAAAGTTGACTTTCAGTCAGACCCAGAGAGGCAGTACTTACTCAGTTGCCCCAGAATTGCCGCATTGGAGGTATTTCTAAAAAAAAAAAAAACAAAAAAAAACAAAAAAATCAAGGGCAATGTTTCTTTTCAAGAGCAACACGCACGCTATTAGTATATACCACTCAAGTGAATAATGCTTTTTGCGCGCTCCGATAGGTTAACTCCGAGGTGATTAGCAAGTACTATTCACCTCCACTTCGGTGAATATTTGTTAATTATAATCCATCAAATATTTTCGCTCGAACGCGATTGGTCTAGATGCATCACGTGAGTGAATATGATCCAGATAAAACTAGGGAATATCCGACTGATATTCCCTATTACCGTACCCAAACTTTCGCAGTTAGCCAATCGGAAGCCGGGTCTACTCTCCTGATATCTTGCGATATCAAGACACTGACCTGACATGGTTACGGTATCGTGGTCACTTGGCCGTATTTCCGTACGGTAAATACCTATTCGTACCTTGTACATACATTTTAGGTACGCTTCAACGCAAATCAGTCACGTTTGGCCTCGCCATGGGCATTTTGGCTCGACTACGTATCACCAAAATACGAACAATGTGCCGCCCAAACTCACCTGATATGCCGCCGAAGCGTACCTAAAAGGTACGAGTTGGTATAAGTGTGAGTGGTATACATTTGTTTGGAGATAATAATAACATTCTGGATCGTGGTCTTATTGTTAAGGTGGGGGTTAACATGCCGCTCGTCTCCGGGTCGAGCGGTCCGGGTTCGAGCCCTGGCCAGGGACATTGTGTTGTGTTCTTGGGCAAGACACTTTACTCTC